GGTGCCCACTGAGGCCAAAAGAGGGCTTTCAGTCTGGATCTGAAGTCTACAGATGGTGGTGATCTGCCATGTGGGTGCTGAGAATCAAACCCAGCTCCTCTGGAAGATCAGCCAGTGTTCTGAACCACTGAACCATCTCTCCAGCCCCACATCACATTGTTTTTTAAGATTAAAAAAAAAAAAAAAAAAAAAAAAAAAAAAAAAAAAAAAAAAACAGCTTGATTACCAGGTGGCTTGGGGAGACAGGCAGATGTCTGAATTTGATACTGGCCTGATTACCAAGTGCTTGGCCTACATCATCTTGATTGAACTCCCCTGGTGCACATGGGGAAAAATGATCCCACCCTAAGGCATGCCACAACCTCTTGCATGCCCCTGTTTTCCCATGAAGCAACTGAGGATTAGAGAAGCTGAGCATCCTGAAGCCGCAATGGGGTAGTAGGATTGTATCTTACTTAGGGCACCCCCAAAGAGGCCAGATCTCTTTTGGGACCCCCACTACCTGAGTTGTGCATCATATCTTTTGGTCACCAGCTCTTCCGTGTATACCTTCCCTATCTCCCCAGGTGGATGTCAACCAAATACCCCACAAAGATTTGGCAATCTGTAGGTCACCAAAAATCTCTGAACTCTCGTGTGCTAACTTGATAATCCTTTTAGAGGGAGAGAGAAAGGAGCAAGACACATTATTTGAAAGGAAAAGAGGAAGGTGGAAGGGACGGGGAGGGGGTGTTTGATTTTTGTTTGTTTGCATCAGAGTCTCCAGTAGCTTAGGCCGGCCTCAAACTCCCTGTACTGAACTTGAACTTATGGTCCTTCTGCCTCTGCATCCCAAGTTCTGGAATTATAGGCTTGTACCACCCCACCCAGTGTATGTGGTACTGGGGATGGATCTCCAGAGCAAAAACTGTTGCCAACTGAGTGGCAACTCTGTCTCGGGAAGGACAGGTTCCCTTTCGAATACCATCTCGATCTGCAGATACTTTCTTCCATCGGTGCATTTGATATCTGGACAAGGACAAAAAATATTATGTGAATGAATTCTAAAGATGAAGATCAGTGCTAACAACAGATAGTTCAATATTAGACAATGTTGGAGGGCTTGAAGGCCCTCCTCTCTTCCTTCCTGAGAGCAGGGTGGTGGAGGATAGGCGAGGGTTAGTTAAAAGCCCCTACCCTTGGTTCTAAACCCTCTCATTACTTCTCCAGTAACAGGGAATAACCAATGTTGTACCTGAAACTGAAGTTTTGATATGTGTCATACCTGGGGGGTAGGGAAGAAGAAATTGTGTGCCGGGCAGGTCACTGAGTATGAATGTGCATGTGTGTATCCTTTGTGGTTTTTTGTTTGTTTGTTTGTTTGTTTTTCTCTATGTACCTTTGGAGCCTGTCCTGAAACTAGCTCTTGTAGACCAGGCTGGTCTCGAACTCACAGAGATCCGCCTAACTCTGCCTCCTAAAGGTGTGCACCACCACTGCCCGACTGTGTGTATCTTTTGTTAATCTGATTGCACACTTCCAAAAGCAGGTGGCTGGGCAACTGAGATATTGTTGGTTCATTTAGTGAATTATGTCTCATTGATGGAATTAAAAATGTCTAGGACATGGGGTTGAGAGATGGTTCAGCAGTTAAGAGCTCTTGTTGCTCTTCCAAAAGGCCTGGGTTCGATTCCCAGCACCCACATGAACTGCAGTTCCAGGGGAACTGGCGCCTTTGTGTTACTTCTTCGGGCACAGGCATGCATGTGGTGCACATACATACATACAAGAAGCAAAACATTTATACACATGGCATTAAAAAAAAAAACATCTAAAAAGAAATACTTAGGACATTAGTGAGGCACGGCATTGAGTGGTGAGTCTGTGAAGAAACATCTAGAGAAGTGAATACCCACCCTGAATGTGGCTGGCTGGCACCAGTACATGAGCTGGGGTCCTTGAATAAGAAGGGGAAAGGAGAAACCCAGATGAGGGATGACAGTCCCTTTTCTCTGTTTTCTGGTCCACTGGAAGATGAGTAAGCAGTCTCACATTCTCACTGCCCCGTCTTCCCCACCCAAATGGAGTACCTATCCTCAGAACACAAACCAAAATCAACTCTTTCTCACTTAAGTTGCTTTTGCATCAGCTACTTGGCCATAGCTATGAGAAAAGCCACTAACCCCATTGGGGAATTGATATCCTCATAGGACACTGAGCAGAGCTGAGGAAACCCTGCTCTGTCTAAGCCCACTGTTCGCCATATGATCTGAAAGTACAGTTCCATTTGCAAACAGTTGCAGCAGAGCTGGCAACTCTGTCTGCTGTGGCCCTCCCCAAGGGGCAGGAAGAAAATTAACACATATTAAAAGGGAAATTGTGAAGGCTTGGAACTGCCATTCTTCCAGAAAATCTCTTATCCTTATAGCACCTGGAGACAGCAAATGAAAGCCGGTGCAAAGGAATGGCTTTGGCCCGTGTGCTTTCCAAAGGCCAAGTACAATCAGGGCAAATTAAAATCATCTGCTTGAGTAGATTAGCTATTTTAACACCCGTTCTTGGGCCTCAAAAGCAAACCTAGCTCGGCTGCTGGCAGATGACTGATAGCATCATATTTAACTTTTAGACTGGGCTGTGAAATTTGGCCCAATGTGAGTTTGTGTTTTGTCAGACCTATAAAGGTGGGAGAGGATTCCTGCTGGGACGGTCTGAGTTCTAGCTCAGTGACTTACAGGTTGTGTGACCTTGGACAAGCTAGCCATTGTGTCCCGTGGACAGTCAGCTTTACAATGAAGAAAACCATGGCTGCTCTCTTTGCCCCCTAGGGAGCTGTAGTTGGAAAATGTGAAAGCCACACTAATGGCCAGGGCAAGTGCATTCACAGAGAGAATCCCTTCTGCCTCATTACCAGATCTCTACTGAATATGCATACTGTGGGTTTCACTTAACCCTCATTCTCGAAACAAGACCCTTTGCAAGTATCATTTTTAGAACTGAAATTGCAATATGTTTAGTTGGCCAACTTATCTCCCTATGACAGGATATTTATCTCTGAGATGAGGAAACAACTAAAATAATGAAGAAAAGGAGGCCTAGAAAGATAGTAACCCCTGGCACAAAAAAAAAAAAAAAAAAAAAAAAAAAAAAAAAAAACCCCCCCCCTATCCTGATGGTTCAGCGGTTAAGAGTACTTGCTGCTCTTTTGGAAGACCCAGACTTGCGACCATCTGTAAATCCATTTCCTAAGAACCTGATGCCTTCTTCTGAACTCTGTGTGTATGAGGCATGTGCATGGTGAATAGACAAACAGACAAGCAGAACGCTCATATACACAAAAATAAAATACACACACACACACACACACACACACACACACACACATAGTTCCAAACCCAAACTGGGTTGTGTGAGACCCTGTCACAGACAAATAAACAAAAACAAACATTAAGGCCACAGTTTGCCAATCTTCTGTATCTTCTTCTGGAAAGTGAAAGTGTCAAGTTCAAGTTGCTCCCGAGTCACACTGGTCCATCTTGGACTTGTATGTGCTGGGGTGACAAAATGTATTTAGCAAATATTTACAAGGGAGGAAGAGGAAGACATAGCCTATAATCGTTCTTTCTCCCTACTAAGTTTCTGGAGTCCCAGAATTGGAAATACTGTGATCCCCACATTTCAGCAAATCTGAGATACTGCTGCTTCTGAGACAGTTAAAATAGGACACAGTGTTGCTTTATTGTCGCAACACCTTAATTTGTAGATGTTAAGTGGGAAAGTTCCATATCTTAGGATAGATAACACAGATAACTCCTTGTAGTCACGAGTGTTGTAGGATCATGCTTCCGTGTGGCTGGAGGGGACACATACATTCTGCTTTACATACAGATAGGGTAATATAAATTATAAGTGTGGACCGAGAAATACTTCTCAGAACAAAATCGGTCAGCTCCGCGGTTTAATGGGAGGCCTGGAGGACTGAAAATGCTGAGGGTGCCTGCCACATGCTCTGTCTTGTGTCTCCTTGTTTCTTGTTGTTATCACACTACATGCTTGATTTGAGGGCTGTGCTATTGTTATCGGGTTGTTCTACTTCAGGTAAAGCAGCTGGACAACAAGTGCTCTTGCTTGGGGAAATGTGGACAGGTGTGTGTGATGGCTAAGGATGATGTTTATATGACGCAATGGGAGTTTTCAGACTCCCTTTGAGCAGAAGGAGAGCTAGAAATAAAGCTGTGTGTGAATTTTTTTTTTTTTTTTTTTTTTTGTGGGCCAGCCTGACTCATTAGAATGCCCTTGTTCTTATATTCTACTGTTTGGGCAAGGAAAACTCATATTTTTAGCTGTTTGTTGTTGTTGTTATTTGTTTGGTTTTGGGTTTTTGAATGGTCTTATGTAGCCAGGGCTGACCTTGAACTTCTAATCCTCAAACCAAGAGCGCTAAGAATGCTATACATGCACTCGACCAGCTGAGTTATACGGCCAGCCTTAGTTTGTTCTTTAGTTAGCCCATTCCTCCCCTCCACAGGACATTTGGTAATAGACAACAACAAAGAGAATCACGCACATAGACAAATGTACTTCTAAGGGACTAGACCAAAGCCATGTGGGGATCAAAAATGACTCAAGTTGGGCTAGAGAGATGGCTCAGAGGTTAAGAGCACTGTCTGCTCTTTCAGAGGTACTGAGTTCAATTCCCAGCAAGCACATGGTGGCTCAGAACCATCCGTTATGAGATCTGTTGCCCTCTTCTGGTGTGCAGATATACATGGAAGCAGAATGTTGTATACATAATAAATAAATAAAATCTTTTAAAAAAAGACTTTATTAAAAAACATGACTCAAGTTATTGTAGTTCTCCTAGGGGCCTTGTAATCTTTGGGCACCATGATGCCTTGCTCCTTGCCTGTGTCCTTGGGCCATTACTGTAATGAAGGGTGTCCGCAGCCCTCACACTGGGCAGGAAACTGTCACTGTTTAACCATTGATGATGGACCTTCTGACTACTCTTGTTTCCCTTGCAGTCAGAGTACCACTACGAGTACACGGCGTGTGATAGCACGGGTTCCAGGTGGAGGGTCGCCGTGCCGCACACCCCGGGCCTATGCACCAGCCTCCCGGATCCCGTCAAGGGCACCGAGTGCTGTAAGCAGCCTTCCTGTCCCAGGGTCTCCCGGGATCTCCCTGATACTTAGGCCTGAGCTCTAACCCAAGCCTCTAGCTATCCAAGCCAGGCTCTTCCTGATGGGACATGTGCCAGATCTTTCCTCCAGTTAGTTCCACCCCCAACCCTTCTGGAATGTGGTGCAGAAATCTTATTTTGTCAAGTGTGGTGGCAAAGGCCTTTGAGCCCACACTTAGGAGGTAGAGGCAGGTGGATCTCTGTGAGTTCGAGGCCAGCCTGGTCTACATAGTGAGCTCCAGGACAGCCAGGACTACACAGAGAAACCCTGTCTTAAAAAACCAACAACAAAAGAATAAAACAAAACAAAAAGGTTTTTAATCACACACACACACACACACACACACACACACACACACACACACACCCTTTATTTTTCTTCTCTGCTTGTCTGTGCATTTCTCTCTGATGTGTGCCTACCAGCCTCAGCTGTCTTCAGGCAATATTGCAATTTGCTTTTGTTTTTGAAAAGGAAACTGAAGAAAATGAACTTGTGCAGATCCAGGATGTTTAAATGCACTGGGCATCACTTCCGGGAGCAAGAACCCTGTAATGTGACCGGAAGGGCGGTGACTCTCAGCTCCCACCCCACCTCTATGACTCACTCCTTACAGCTTTCTCTTCCCTGTGCCCTGTTCTTTTAGGAATTCAAAGGGAATAACAATAAATTCCAGGGACTAGAGTTGAGGGACCATTGAAAGAGTTACAAAGGAGATTAAGGACATTCAAATTCCAACCTCAGTTTAACACAGTGTCTGGTTCTTCTCTTCTCTCTCTTTCTTTCTTTCTTTCTTTCCACAGATCTATAAATGAGGCTGGCCTTGAACTCCCACCTTCCCTACCCAAGTGGTAGGATTCCTGGCTAGTCACCACCTTGCCTGACTTTAAATTTTTTTTCTTTTTTGAACTATCAGCTTTATTGAGACACAACTGCTTTTGCTAGGTGGTTGTTTCATTTTTATTAATTGAGAAAGAATTTCTGTGTAGTCTTGGTTGGCCTAGAACTTGCTCTATGAAAAAGACTGGTCTTGAACTTACAACAATTCTTCCTCTGTCTCCAAAGATACTCCTTACAGATCATAAGTCCCACCCCTTATTAGGCAAATTTCAGGGCTGCTTGAATCTTTGCAGCGACTCTTTTTTGTTTTTCTTTTGGTTTTTGAGACAGGATTTCTCTGGCTGTCCTAGAACTCAGAGACCAACCTACCTCTGCCTCCTGAGTACTGGGATTAAAGGCGTGCACCACTACTGCCCAGCTGTTCCTGGCAACTCTTAACCACTCACATTTTAGGGCATTTAGAGACTGAAAAAAAAAGTCTTAGTGGCAGTCTCTCCACAGTCTCCAAGGCAACCACAAATCTGCCTTATGTCTCCAAGACTTTACTCTTGTGGTCATTCCATATAAATATCATTACACAAGATGTTCTTTAGCTCTAGGTTCCAGTGGTCCAGATCCCTAGATTCTGACCCTGAAGTCCCTGTTTTAGTTGCCTCCAGCACCATCACTCTTCCAGACGGAGACCACAGTGACCTCATGACCCTTCCCTTGTCCCTGCCCTGCTTTCCAGCTTTCTCTTGCAATGCCGGAGAGTTTTTGGATATGAAGGACCAGTCCTGCAAGCCCTGTGCAGAGGGCCGCTACTCGCTTGGCACTGGCATCCGGTTTGATGAGTGGGATGAGCTGCCTCATGGCTTTGCCAGCCTCTCAGCCAACTTGGAAGTCGATGACAGCATCTCTGAGTCCACGGAGAATTGCACTTCGTGAGTCTGGGAGCTGGCGCACAAGTCTCCTGGGGAAGGGGCAACTGGGCATCCCTGGCGGGCACCCTTCTGTGATACTCCTGAGGCAGGTGGGAGGAGGACACCACACTCCCTGGGGGGGGGGAGAGGGGACTCCTGGATATGACTGCTCCCTTGACCCATCCTAACCTAAGCTTACCACTGACTGGCAGACGACTGTGAGAGGGAAATACCAAAAGAAATAGAGGCAGGTGGATGAGGGAGGATAAGCGTCTAACGGCCCAGCAGGTTTAACACAAAACCCACATGGATTTTTCTCTGTGGAATTTTGAATCAGCAAATAAGCTTGATTAACCTGATTAGAACACAATGTACAAAGTATTGGTTGTCTCGCTGGCTTTGGTGCCAAACATCTAAAGCTGGTTTGAAGAGATACCATGACTAAGGCAACTTATAAGAGAAAGAATGTAATTGGGAGCTTGGTTACAGCTTCAGAGGGGGAGTCCATGCAGCAAGCAGGCAAGCATGGCCCTGGAGCTGTAGCTGAGATCTTACATCTAATCCACAAGCAGGTGACTGGGCCTCGTGTGGACTTTTGAAACCTCTTCCCACAAGGCCACAACCCCCCGCCCAATCCTTCTCAAACAGTTCCACCTAGTAGGGACCAAGGACTCAGTTGTATGAGTCTAGGGGCCAGTCTCATTTGAACCACCACATCCCAGTAACTAGGAATTCCCAGCTCAGAAGGAGACCTTTGCCAGTCATTGAAAAGCTCAGTGCCTCCTCCCCACTCGATATTTACTCCAGATGTGCCCTTTAGGGACTTGGCCCTATGTTGGATGTTCCACACAGAAGGCTTTTCTTGAACCCACACAGAAGCCCAGTGAAACTGGCATTGTGATTTCCATTGCAGAATGGAAAACTGGAGGCCCAGTGAGCATTCCATCTTAGTTTCCTAGCTTGAAACTGGTGAGACTGTTACTCAGACATAGTCCCAAGCTTTCTACTGCTCCACATTGCTACCTTCAAGCCACATAATTATGTGACAGGTAGTTTGGGGCTCCAGGGAGGGAAACATCAGGATAAAAAGTTCCAAAAAGCAATTCTGACAGTGAGTTTGAGAGGAAAGCAAATGTTCTTTTATACCAAAGCAAGCAAATGGACTAAGAGAACCAAAGGATTGCATTACACTTGGGTTTCTCTTTTCAAAGTTTGTTTTCATGGTGCTGGGGTTTGAACCTAGGGCCTCGCCCATGCTAGCTCCCATTCCTATGTTTGACTCTCTCAGAAGGACCAGTGTTTGAACCACACAGCAGACATTTAATCATCCAATTATAGTTTATTTTTTAGAAAGGGTCTCTCTAAAACCCTGACTGACTCATTATGTAGACCAGGCTGGCCTGGAAATTCATAGTGATCCACCTGCCTCTGCCGCCCTCCCAAGTGCTGGGATTAAAGGCATGTGCTACCATGCACAGCCAATCATCCAATTTTAATATTACTTTAGAGTGTAAGTTTACATATCATAGTCATTATCACAGTAACTGGGGGGGGGCAGATATAAAGCTGGAGAAGATGCAAGTGAGAAATGGAGGGGCTGTGTGGGTTAAGACAATCAAGCTCCCATCCTGTGGGAGCCCCAATATCAAATGTTGTTTGACCTGGGACAAGATGCAGATCCTCAATCTATCCACTCCATCACTTCCCAGCCCAGGAAGAGGAAGGGTTCCACCTCTCTCTGGGGACTGCAGTGAGAGGGGTACAAATCATTACCTCTCATTGAGGTGGGATGTGTATAGATTAATAACAGCTTGTGTTTTCACGGCACAGACCATCACGGAGCCTGGATCTTAAGGCATCCAGAAACGTCCCTAGGAGGGAGAGAGGATCTCTCCTCAGTAGAAATGGCCATCTGGACAGGTTTTAAAAGTCAGTAATTGAGCTGATACCATGAACCCAACTCTTTGGCTTTCCTGTGTACAGTCCCATTGCCTCCCGTTTAGCTGGACCAGCATCCCCCCCTGCCAGATCCACCTTGCAACTTCCCAGCTGCTCTTCTGCTTCCCCTTCCTGCTCCAGACGGTGGACATGAATCCACCCAGCAGTTAGAATGATGAACACATGTCTAAACACACCAGTTTCCTGCTCAGAACTCTGGGTTGAGGCCATCCATTGCTCTTGGGACAAGATCCAAGACCCAAGGGGCTGCTGTTCTACTTTGCTCTCTGCAGAGTAGAATATTTTGCCTGCATCTCTTGAACATTCTCCTTGTTGGTGCCATGCTGCAGTCATACCAGTTGCCAGGATGCTTTTCTCCTGGAACCTTTAAGTGGCTCTTCCGAGGGCCTTTCCCCAGCTGTCTAACTTGGCTCTTATGTCTCAGAGTAAAAGTCACTTCCTCAAAGAAACAATCTCTGAACTGGGAGACTCTGGTGTCACCTTGTCATTCTTGTTACCATGCTTACCCCAGCTAGTCTTATGTGATTAATTGTACTAGTTAAATTTCTGTTCAAGTAGGAACAGAATACAAGCCCTAAGCATGAGAGGACAGTGTGTGTCTTGGTCTTTGCTGTGTCTCCAGCATCTAACATATCATTTGCCACAAAACAGACACATAACTAATCATGGGGAAGAGGACAGACAAATTGAACAGTCTCCAAGGTTTTAAGAGTGATCCATGGATCCTGGGTATAGGTCACAGGACAAAGGCACTGGAAACAGTCTGCCATCAGAGACTGAGGTCCCGAGAGGGAATCAGAGTAAAGAGGAAGTATTTAATCTAGTTCAATTCTGTGGCTGTGATAAAATACCCAGACAAAAAGCAACTTGGGGGGGGGGTGAGAGACACATGTTTATTTCTGCTCGTAACTTCAGGTTACTGTCTATCACTGAGAGCAAGGTGGTAGAACTTGAAACATTCACAGTCAAGAGCAGAGAGAAACAAAGGTACATGCTTGCTTGTTTGCGCTTATGCTTAGCTGGCTTTCCGCACTCCCACACAGTACAGGGCCCACAGCCTAGGGAGCAGTGCTGTTCTCAGTGATCTGGTCCTTCTCCATCAATAATCAATCATCCCCCATAGACATGCCCCAGGATCAACCTGATCTAGATACTTCCTCATTAAGACTCACTTCCTGAGAGCTGGAGAGATGGCTCAGTGGTTAAGAGCACTGGCTGTTCTTCCAGAGGACTGGGTTAAATTCTCAGTGCCCACATGTGGCTCACGACCATCTCTAGTTCTAGGGAATCCAGTGCCCTCTCTGATCTCTGCAGGTACCAGGCATGCATTGCTGCACAGACATACATGAAGGTAAAATACCCATACACATAAAATAAAAATAAATACATCTACAAGAATTTTGAGAAGAAAACAGAGGCTTAGAAAGTGTGGTTTAGTGATAGTACACATGCCAGCACACTCAAGGCTTTGGATCCCATTCCAGATCCCTAGCACTGATCAAGGGGTCTAGGAGAAGAATCTAGAATGATGCCTCTGGCACTAGAAGTCAATCAAACATGTTGTTATTACTGAATATGAAGTGTCTTCACCAGGGACAACACTATCAAACACTAGAACTGTGATACATTTTGCAAATTTAACCCACTTAGAGCATTCTTTTAATTATTCATCAAACTTTAAGAGTTATTTATAGCTGATACCATGTAATACATCAGCATTAACTGTCTTTTTTAACATGGGAATCAACACGATTAAGTTAGCTGGGTCATTTTGGAAGAATTTGGTGTCTTTCCTTTTTGATAATAACACTGCCTGTTGCCGGGCAGTGTTGGTGCACACTTTAATCCCAATACTCAGGAGGCAGAGGCAGGTGGATTTCTGTGAGTTCAAGGCAAGCCTGCTCTACACAGTGGGTTCCAGGATAGCCAGGGCTACACAGAGAAACCCTCTCTCAAACAAAACAAAACAAAAATAAAACTGACTGTTGAGCTTGAAAGGCTGTGTGGTTTGTGAAGACACAGGGGGAACCCTGTGTACCAGCTTGTGATTCTCTCAAAGGTCATTGTTAAGCAGCTGGGAGTCTTGGGCTAGTCTCAAGCAAACAGAAACAGCAGATTTGTCTCAATTCGCCCTTTTCTCACATTATTTGTTTGATCTCCTGAGGTCCCTGGGTGCCAGGCCCAGGGCTGGAGACTGGGGAATAGATTCTTATGCAAAACAAGACTAGCTTCTGTCCCCTCAGAATCCACAGTCTAACCCGGAAGACAGGTAAATGAAGAATAACAGTATGGCCAGAAGAAGATACCAGATTGTAAGAAAGCTTCAGAAAACATGCATAACTTCACCAGTAATCAAGGAAGTAAGATTTAAAGCCCAACTAGACACTAAATTCCCTGCTACATCAGATGGCGACATGCCCCACCACACCATTCGGCAACATATGGCAACCATAAAGCCCTCAGTTCCAAGTTTGTAGAGGATGTGGAGCAACAGGGACCCTCTTACATTGCCAGCTAGTGTAAATTGATATACATTTTGGGGAACAGGGTGGCAGTAAAGCTGGGAGTTCGAATACCATATGAGCCAACAACTCCGATCAGACGTGCCTAAGAACACTGAAACAAGAATGTTCACAACAGAATGTGAACATTAGTGAAAAAAAAAAAAACCTAGCAGCACTCGTGTCCAGCTGTCTGAATAGATGTGGCAAATCAACAAACTAGAACCACATAAAGAATATTAGACAGCAGTAAAGATAAAAGGAAGGGCTAGGAGGGTGTGGCTCAATGAAAGAAAGCAAATATAGACGCTGGGTTCTATACACACACACACACACACACACACACACACACACACACACACACAATCTATTTTTGTGAGTTTGGATGAGTCCCACACTATTATATACTAGCCTCCCTCCCAACTAAGCTTTAGAAAATTAAACATGATACCATTTAAAAACATCACGATGTAGTAGTGTGTTGCTTAGAGATACATACAAAGAACTTCATCAGAATGTTAAGTACCAGATTCAAGTATGCCACCCCTCTTGGTAGCTGGAGAAAGAAATGCTAGAAGAAAGGAGAGGAACTAGTGAAGGCACATGGTGGTTCCTGCTGCTCTTGATTGACTTGCTTTGCTTTGCTTTTGTCTTGTCTTTGACAATTTTATATACATAATGTATTTTGAACACATCCATCCATCCATCCATCCATCCATCCATCCATCCATCCATCTATCCATCACCCTTGTCCACTCCTTAAGCCCTTCCCATTCCCTTTGGAACCTCTCTTATTCTCAACATGTGAGATAAATATTTATCTACCTCTACTTCTACAAGACCTAGTTTAATTAGAGCTGTTTGCATGCGCACGCATGTGATGTTATTTAGCTTATACCCATAAAGAAAAATGACACCCTCCAATAGCTCCTTAGCTAGGGGTAGAGCTTCATCTGCCTCACCCTCCTCCATGCTGGAACGTTGACTGGCTTGTTTTTGAACAGGCAACTACAGCCACTATGAGTTTTGAGTACAACACTCAAATGTCATGTCTAAAAGACAGCATTTCATAGCATCCCTCCTCATCCTCTGGTTCTTACATTTATTTTATTTTATTATTTTTTGAGACATGTTTTGTCTGTGTAGCCCTGGCTGACCTTGAACTTACTTTGTAGACCAGGCTGGCCTTGGAACTCACAGAGATCTGCCTATCTGCCTCCCAAGAGCTGGGATTTAAGTCATGAGCCACCACCACCCAGCTTTTCTCTCTTCTTTTCTTTCCTTTTTTTTTTTTTTTGACTTAACATTAATTGGCATTTATTTATTTATCATATCACATTATTTATTTATTATAAGACTGGAGGAAGCATTAACCAAAGAGGAGAAAGAAGAAGCTTGTTTGAGGAAAAGGGCAAGCCCAGGGGTAGAGAAGTTTTGGCCTAGGAACTGAGAGAAATCCCATAGGTCTTCCATAGAAAGTGTGGGCCTGGAATGTGTGCCCTATCCCAAGAGCACCAGGGAATCCTCACCAGGTTTGGAGCACTGAGGTGATTCTGTCATGTTTTCCTTCTGGAGGTCTCCAGCCATACATAGTGTGGAGAGGAATTGGAGGAGGCAGGGCCAGACACAAGATAAAGGCTGTTCAAGAGATAATGTGGCAGGGAGTGAGGAAGAGCCATTGGAAAGAGTGAGCTGGAACAGACACCACAAGACTGACCATCTCTGGTTCTCCTGCCATCCCCTCTGAGAAAAGCAGTGTACATGTAGCATTGTAAAGTGGATGTTTCTGGAAAAACAAGTGGGATTTAAGTAGATGAACTTCTGAGTTCTTCAGGATATGTTTGTCAATGGGTTTTGACAACTTTGGGATTAAGCAGTTTTTAATTTGAATCCCAGACTTGTCACTTGAAGGCTTCGTGGTATTGGCTAAGGCCTCAGCTTTCTCATCTATTAAATGGAAAAATAGTTCTCCCTCTTACTGATGAACATAAATTGTGAATATGAAGCAGCTCATAGCTGGTTGATGTAAAGCTTCCCATGCCCAACTTTACCATCCACCTCCAGTCCAGTTTTATGAAGCATGGAGGCACACCCAACTAGCTTCACTGTTTTCCTCTTGTTGGCTGTGTCTTAGGCCTCTTCATCTACCTAGAGCATCTGTTGTTGCTACTCTTACCTGAGCTTGTTCAGGTCTTTATTAGTTAACTGTTCTATCCTTCGAAGAGACAATATGACCAAGGCAACTCTTAAAAGAAGACATTTAAATGGGGGCTTGTTTAGTTCATCACCATCAGGATGGGAAGCAGGCAGGGCCTGGAGCAGTTGCTGAGAACTTTACATCCTGATCCAGAGAGGGGGAGAGAGAGAGAGAGAGAGAGAGAGAGAGAGAGAGAGAGTGGCCTGGCATGGGAACCCACCCCCATGACACTCCTCCTCCAACAACGCCACACCTCTTAATCCTTCCCAAACAGTTCCACTAACTGGGGGCCAAACATTCAAACATATCAGCCTCTGGGGACCATGGTCATTCAAACCACTACAAGGGGCAAGTTTCAGCTTTTGACTCTTAAGTCTGGAATTCCCCAGAACCCCTAACAGGAGAGCATGGAACCTAACACATGACACAAAGCCTTGTGGGATGTGCTGCTTCCATAACTCTTGGTCTCTGTTCTTTCACAGGTCCAAGTGGGTTCCCCGGGGAGACTACATCGCTTCCAACACGGATGAATGCACAGCCACTCTGATGTATGCCGTCAACCTAAAGCAGTCTGGCACAGTTAACTTTGAGTACTACTACCCGGACTCAAGCATCATCTTTGAGTTTTTTGTAAGCTCCTAGCTGGGGGCATAAGGGAGGAGAGGGTTTAGAGAAAGGTCAGGACTCCCTAAGTCTCAGATTCATTTATAGGACTCAATCACAAGTGTGGCCATGTTAGGCAAACTTTTTGGTTCTCACTCTAGAGAAAGCTGTGAGCAAAATGAGCCGAGGCCTGGGGAGATAAGAAGAAAAAGCACAAGGCAGAGAACACTGAAGGCGAGGACAGAGCCCATGAATTTCCTGGGTGTTTCATCCTGTTGAGACTTGTTACGACATGCAAGCGGCCAAACTGCAAACTCTTTCTCTGAGGTCCATGTTCAGACATTGTTGAGTGCAGCTTATGGGTTCTCAGTTTAGTCCCAGAGGAAATGGCAGCTTCTCATCCATAAGAACAGTGTTGTAGAGCATCAAAAAGCAAGGAATGAGATCCTCCTCTCCTCAGGAAGCTGAGCCTCTCATCCCAAACCCCTTCCATCTCAGGTCCAGAATGACCAGTGCCAGCCCAATGCTGATGACTCCAGGTGGATGAAAACTACAGAGAAAGGATGGGAATTCCACAGTGTGAGTATCACACCAGCCATCCCCAAGATCCCAGAGGAGGGGCCAAGGACCCTAAAGGGGAGCTTCTGCTCCAGCACCCATGGAGGGAGGAATCTAAAATGTTGAGGATTCAGGGATTCCTCTCCTCATGGTTGATGGATTAGGTTGGGTGGTGACCAGTTTGCTCCTGTGACTTCATCCCAGGAACCAGAGCTTTCCAGCTTTAGGGTTGGGTTTTCTGTAAAACCAGAGAATGGTTGAATGCCAGTCTCCCTCTGGTCCTATTATGATTGCTATAAGGGATGCTCGTAGTTCATGTGATGCAAGGATCATGTGTGGAGGACCAGAGAAGCATGGGAGAGGGTTAGAAAGACAAAACTTCGAGAGGCCAAGCTGAGGGAGAGAAAGGAAAGGCTTAGAACAGTCTCTGCTTATTTGACAAGGGACCAATGAGGCAAATCAGCAACGCCCATTTTTGTGATGAATTAACACCCACCTTGTGTCTTTTTTTTTTAAGGTTGAGCTAAATAGAGGCAATAATGTCCTCTATTGGAGAACCACAGCTTTCTCAGTGTGGTCCAAAGTGTCCAAGCCTGTGCTTGTGAGAAACATTGCCATAACAGGTACAGAGACCAGGCTTTGCTCTGGGGTCTGCTGCTGGCTTCCTGGACTCTTGGCTTCTAGGGGAGGGTGGGAATTGGTCCCTGGGGCCTTGGTGTCTCGGCTCAATCTTTATTTTCTATGTCATTCTTTCTCCGCAGGGGTAGCTTACACTTCAGAATGTTTCCCCTGCAAGCCTGGCACATATGCTGCCAAGCAGGGCTCCTCTTTCTGCAAGCTTTGTCCAGCCAACTCTTATTCAAATAAAGGAGAAACTTCTTGCCATCCATGTGATGCTGACAAATACTCAGGTGATGTTTGGGGGAGCAGGATATGGGGGAGCAGTGGGGTACCTGTACACACACAGAAGAAAGCAGGAGGCTCATCCTGTTGGCCTATTTCTGAAGACTTGGGTTTTTATTGATGCTTTCTTGTTTGCTTTCTTATTTTGGGTAGGGGAAGGGATATTAAGATAGGACCTTACTGGCCTTAACCTCAGTATGCAGCAGAGGCTGGCTTTGAATTTCCTTTCCTTCCTTCCTTCCTTCCTTCCTTCCTTTCTTTCTTTCTTTCTTTCTTTCTTTCTTTCTTTCTTTCTTTTTATTTATTGAGACAAGGTCATACTGTGTAGACCAGGCTGGCCTGGAACACACAGAGATACACCTGCATGTGCTTCCTGAGTACAGGGATTGAAGGTATGTGCCACCAGGCCCAATTACTAAGATTATAGGCAAAAGTCAGCATGCATAACAGTTAAAAAAAAAAAA